CAGTAAGTCCAGCTGCTGCCTGCAATGCCAACGTCCCAGATGAGCCCTGGTTTCAGTTCTGGCTGCACCCCTCCAGTCTAGCTCCTGCCGATGTGCCAGGGGAAGCAGCAGAAGACGGCCCAGCACTCTGGGCCCCTGACTCCCACGTGGGACACCTGACTGCCATTGGGTAGTGAAAGCAGATAAAAGATCTCTCTATGATTCTCCCACTTTCTCTGTTACTCTGCCTTTCAAATATATAAGGAAATCTTCTAAAAACTAAAAATAGAAAAGAATACAGTAATACTTTCCTGAAAGACCCCAGATAAATATGAGTGCGAATGCCCAAACGTCTGATTACTTGCAGAACGAGAAAAGCTCTCTTGGATCTGGCTCCTGTCACATCTAACTTTGTTGAGGGGCGGCACAGTTGTCTCAAAGATCGTGTCACAGAGGAATTAATAAGACAACTGTTTCAGCTTGACCCTGAAGGTCAGCTCATACAGCTTTCAAAGTATTAACAGATTTAAAAATCAATAACCTTTATTCTCACCGTTAGAAACTTCCATGACTTATATACACGTGCTCTGGATGACGAGACAGAAGAATTGAATTCTGGCCCCAGCTTAGCTCGGTATGCCTCACTGGACAAAGTTGCTCTGTTTTGCTAGGCCTTGATATGTCTGTGCAGTAATAATAACAGTAGGTGCTGATTAGTGTTGAGCACTGGACATGCCCCAATAGCTTGGGGTAGATTCACTCTGAGTTCTCACCACTGTGACAGTTCTTGTCACCTGAGGCACTCCCTGCAGTGAGCCAGTGGCACTCCACGACCAACAGCTGTGGGGAGCCACGCAGTTGGGTTGGATGGCATGGGTGTGTGATGAGCACCGCTCCTCAGTTAGCAAGGCTACGAGGAGTTTCTGGCTGCGTGGCAAGGCCCGGCTGAAGGTCTCTGGTCGCCTCATTGCTGCCTCACCCCTTTGTATGGAACTCAATCACCTCTCTGATGTTTTATAGAATTCTTCAGAGGGTGCTGTTGTCGTTGTTTTTCTGCTAATGTGAAGTGATTCCTGTAACTGATATGACACCTCAAATTGATCAATCATATTATGATAAAAACACCTTTAGTAACCTAAGGCTATGACACACAGCTAAAAGTATACAATAGTACAATTGAGCCCACTATGTTTCCAAACATCCTGTTATATGCCCACTTTTGTCCTGAAGTTTGCCCTAGTATAAGTAATGTTTTCCTTAAGAAATGGCTTAATAATATCCTGGAATAGATGGCAATCATGGAGGTACAAAGAGTTTGCTTACCATATACCTAGAACTGTTACAACACATGATATGACACATTTTAGTTTCTTACCACAAGAAAGCAAAAATATATGGGGCATCTTCTAAAAGGAAACAAAACAAACCCCCCTCAAAATGGCTTAAAATCCCAATCTTATACTAGCACTTATCTTTAGGGAAAGAAAACAGTTTATAAAAATTTCTCTTATATTGGCATTTATATTTAGGGAAAGAAAATAGTTTATATAGATGAAAGGAAGTTTCTTGTGAAGGCCCTCTGCTTGTAGATTAGCTGAATTGCCTTGATCACTGCCCTTTAACAAAAGAATGAAAAACAATTGAATCAGCACTAGGTGAAGGTGACGGTAATTAATGCATGATTTGATTATAAGAATTAGCAAAGAATCTATGTTATATACTTTTATAAAATCCTTTCATTTATGATCTTTTAATTCTGTACTCTTAATATTTTAGGCAATATTAGTTTGATTGTGTTTAGTAAAAATTGATTTTGAGTATAAGTAAACCACTTGTCACTATGTAACCACATGCGCTGTCAACCGTGGAGTTCCTGGCTTCAGCCAGGTGACTGCAGGTTTCAATGAGTAATGGTTTGTTGAAAATGTTTTCCTTAAGATTGTTTCTTGCATTTTCATAACCGTGATGTAATGAAAAATGAAACAATTGGATGTTGTGCAAAAGCTTGTGATGATTTATGTATAAATAAAGAAGGCAACTTTTCTGAGTTGTCCATTGTGAGCATCATGCCATAGTGGTCCACGTCTCATCTCTTCCTATCATCTCGCCGATCCACGCATCCTCTGCAAGCTCTCAGTCAGCTGGAGCTGGTCTCCGGCAGACAGCTTTTCACCTTGGCGATGCTTACAAGGACCTACCCCCCTTTCTGGGGTTTTACAAGAGAACAGCACCTCACCAAGGCTGGCTGGCTAGTAAGTAACAGAGGCGGGGTTCCACCCAGACAGTCCGGCTCCAGCGTCCATGCTCTGGGCCAGTATGGCCAGTATGGCCTCTTTAAAGCCAGCATTATTAACCAGGTCAGTTACTGGACACAGGATGGGCTGCTGGTTTGCCTGGGGGGTGTCCTAGCCACAGGAAAAATCTGTCTGTGTAGGCAGCCATATGGGAGGGATGGATGGCGGTGCCAAGGGGCAGAGCAGCACGGGCCTGCCTATGGACAATGGCCCCACTGGGCACTCGGCTGCCCTTATCTCTACTCCCATCTCTCTTTCACAGGTGGAGACCTGGAGGGCCTGGGTTCTCACTGCCTCTTGACTGGTACCCTGGGGTGGTGAGACCAGGAGAAACAGTGGGGTGCCACGTGAAGGATGGAGCATGCATCCAGCCTGCAGTGACCAAGTGGCACTCCACGACTGACAGCTTTTCACCTTGGCAATGCTTACAAGGGCCTAACCCCCTTTTTAGGGTTTTACAAGAGAACAGCACTTCACTAGTTTGCCTCAGAGACTCAGCAAAAAGTATGTGCTGAAATAGTACATAAAACATCTTGCCCAGTGCCTGATGTGCAATAAATGGCGCCTATCTTTTCCCAGTCACTGCTCACTTCCTGATGGGGAAATTGCAAGCATCACTGCTGGACCTGACAGTTCCCGACCTCGTGGGAGTGTTGGGAAAATGAAATGAGCTCACATGTGCCAAGTGCATGGCACTTTCTCGGTGTTCATCTACCGGCGGCCAGCACTGCCACTCTCCCCCTTTTGCTTCCCTGAGCCTCCAGACACCCTGCAAACAGGTGTAAAGTCACAGACGTAAACGCTCATGCAGGACGCAGGGCACAGAACACAACACCCACTCAGGCATGACTGCCTCTCACGGCCCCTGCAGGCCCTCCCACCCACAGCCAGCAGTGGGGGCCACTTCCAGAGAATGTGACCAAGGGCAGGACCCAGACCTCCGCCAGCAGAAGGCCCTCAACACTCCCACGCAGCCTCGTGGTGGCAAACACCCACACCCCTAAGTCAGGGGCTCAAAGCAGCTTCTGTGTCATGTCGCAGTGTGACAGAATGGGAGCTCTGCTGGCTGGGCTTCCCACGAGCTGAGTCACATCCTTACACAGTTCCTGCAGCACGGCCCAGGGACAGGCACAGCTGGTGCCAGCACAGACTGTGTCCTCATCCTCCCCTTTCACAACCAGTGCCTCTCCCACACACCTGAAACTCCAAAGTCACTCACTGTGCCTCCCCGCAGCCCCGTCCCAGCTCCTGCTTCTCAAGATCCCAGGGTCCAGCTGGCCAGCCCACACAGACCTCGCCGCTCCAGCCGAGAGTCACACTGCATCCTTTCTCCCACTCTTCGGTGGACTTCAAGGCCGAGTGAGCCCAGGGCCCAACACACCACTCACACCTCAAGATCAGGGCCAGGCCCACGTTCTCATGTACAACGCATGGTATCAAGTAGCTTCAATAAATCTTGACTCAGTGGCTCATAGGTGAATAAGTTTAGATATATATTAACAGTCTCTCCCAGGTACAGAAGCAGCATCAGAAGCTGGTGCTGTGGCACAGTAAATTAAGCTGCTGCTTGTGACACCAGCATCCCATAGGGGTACCAGTTCAACTCCCAGCTGCTCCACTTCTGATCCAACTCCCTGATAATATGCTTCCAGAGGAAGCTCCAGGCTCCCAGCTTCTACCTTTGGCTTGGCCTAGTCCTGGCTACTTGGGGTCACTTCCTAGCAGGATGTGCAGTGCTGCCTCGGGCTGCTGTCCAGCCAGTTCTCTCTGGCTCCATCCCTCTGGACCCACTGACCACAGCCTGCAAGGCTCCACCCTGGGCTCTGCCTGAGCTTCTCAGGTTCCCTGGGGCCCCTCACCTGCTCTGCTGGGGCCACCTGCCTCTCTAGGGGGCCACTGGGGCCTGTCAGAGCCACGAGAAAGGGCTGTGTTGTGAGACCATGCACCCTGCCTTTCTGGCCCCCTCTCCCAGGCCCCATGCATCCTCACCCTAACCTGAGCTATGAAAGCAATGAGACTGTAGCAGGAGTCTAGAAGAGGTGGGTGAGAGAAAGAGAGCAGTGGGGTGGTGGGCGTCTCCAGGAGCACAGGGCAAGGGCAGCAGCTGCACCCTGGCTTGCCCAGGACCAGGTTCTGGGTAGGTGGAGGCGAGCTAGCTCAGCTGGTGTATGTGCACACTGCACCACTGAGGAGCCACCGAGTTACCAGCACCTGGCACGGCCTTCTGCCCTGCTGCTGCCAGCCCAGCCTGGTGGCTCGAGGCCTCCCAGGGCCTCCCTGCCCTCAGCTCACAGGCTTGGCCTCTTCTTGCCAGTGCCTGGGGAGAGCAAGGCCCAAGGCCACTGCCTCCTCTAGCACCAGTAAGGGCAGGCAATTCAAGCAGCTGTGTGTGTGTGTGTGTGTGTGTGTGTGTGTGTGTGTGTGTGTGTGCAAGCCTGAGGTTTAAAACATAGAGTGACAAAAAGCAGGAAAAGATGGAGAGACAGATTCACTCCCCAAGTGGCCCCACTGGGTCTCCAATGTGGACAGTAAGGACCCAGGCACACAGCAGGGAGCGGGATGGGAGCTGGAGCTGCTGGGACTCACACTGGCACTCATTTGCAAGTGGGCGCTATGCGTAGCAGTTTAATGCCCTACACCACAGTGCTGTCCCCTCTCCTTCCTCTTTAAATCCAGTTCAAGCGTTAGGATGACACAGCTCAAAATAGAAACAGGAAATCAAAATACCTAAGCCAGATGAACAAGAAACAGCAAGACTTGCAGAAGCTCTGCGGAGGAATTCAGATGAAGCGACAAGAAGAAACAGAAGTTGATTCATATCTTTCACTTGATGCTGCAACAAATCCCCAACCAGGAAATCCTGTGGGATGATGCAGAACTCCACGTAAGTGACACAGAGAATTCCACTCAAATGCCTTGAAGAAAATCCATATATGGATGCCCTCCTTGAAACACACAGCCCCAGGGGTTGTGCTTGCGCACTGCTGTACTCCCAGCCTGCAGTGTTACATGTTGTAGACTCAAGAGACATTTTGTTTTAATGAACAAATTCTGATGACTTAGGCCTCCTGAGTATAAAGACAGCCACTTCATTCTTTTCCCAAGGCATCTGGCCGTAGGACTAGAAAATGTTTACCTCCCAAGAAACAAGAGTTTATCAGTTAGGGAAACACCACTCAGAAGAAAGCGAGCTCATTGTGATGTGGGATAGATAGAACACGGGGGCCCAGCACGATGGCTAAACTAAGTAATCTTCTTCTTGCAAGTGCTGGGATTCGATATGGGCACAGGTTCAAGTCCTGGCTACTCTACTTCCCATCCAGCTCTCTGCTTGTGGCCTGGGAAAGTGATCGAGGACGGCCCAAAGCCTTGGGACCCTGCGCCCACATGGGAGGGAGACCCAGAAGAAGTTCCTGGCTCCTGGCTTCAGATCAGATCAGCTCTGACCTTTGCAGCCACTTGGGGAGTGAACCAGTGGATGGAAGATCTTTCTGTCTCTTTGCAAAATCTGCCTTTCTGATAAAAATAAATATTTAAAAAAGAATATATATCATAGGAATGCATACATATTACTCACTGTTAAGGAGATAGAAAACTTCAGCATTGAAAGTGGAGAAGAGTAACTGCAGGGACACCTGAGTGCATTCTAAAAGAAATTAATAAAAGCAGTAATAAAGAGTAATCATTAGGGTCCGGCATGGTAGCCTAGTGGCTAAGGTCCTTGCCTTGCATGCACTAGGATTCCATATGAGCACCAGTTCTTGTCCTGGCTGCTATACTTCCCATCCAGCTCCCTGCCTGTGGCCTGGGAAAGTGATCAAGGACGGCCCAAAGCTTTGGGACCCTGCACCCACGTGGGAGACCTGGAAGAAGCTCCTGACTTCCGATGAGCTCAGCTCTGACCTTTGCGGCCATGTGCACGGAAGGTCTTTCTGTCTCTCTCTTTTTCTGGAAAATCTGCCTTTCCACTAACAATAAATAAGTCTTTAAAACAAAAAGAGTAATCATTAGGAAGGCAGCGACTGTAACAACCAGGACACATTATAGCAAGAAACTATACTGATAAAACACAAGAAACACCAACACACATCCCTAAAGAGGACGGACCTCTCTGGACAGAAAGACACTGTCTTCTCACCGACCCTGAAGGGGACGCGACAGAAAGTGAGACATCCCCAGTGAAAATGCTCAGTCCCACCGACACCTAGAGAGTCACCAGCTAATCCAGCCTGGGTATTGCTCTGCCAATGTGAAATCAGTAAGGTTTTCTTCAATTTTTAATCTTTAAAAAATTTTTAAAAATTTTTTTCATGCCACAGCTGCACAGGCTCAGGGATTTCCCTCTCCGACCTTCCGATTCCAGTCTTCATTATTACAATAGTGCCTTCCTCCAGCACCAGTCACAGGCCCATCTTTCTATTTAAGTGTATCGTGACACTGTAGGAACAGACAACGGTAGAAACGTCCAGCATCCTATTAAATCAGTATAAGAACAAATAAATATATTTATTTTACCTGAAAGGCAAAGAGACAGAAAGAAAAGAATTCTCTCAGCTGCTTATTCATCCCCGCCCCCCACCCCCAAATGCCCCAAACAGCCAGGGGGCAGAGGGGAGCCTTGTGCGTGGAACTTCCTGCGGGTCTCCCACGTGGGCGCAGGGACCTGTGTGTGTGGGGGGGCCCCCGCCCCCGCAGCTGCCTCCCGGGGGCACCTCAGAGGTAGAACAGAGACTCACAATGCAGCACCTTGGCAGGGAAGGCAGGTGCCTCGAGGCCACCTCAACCGCTGCTCCAAAGCCTGCCCGCCAATAAGTTTTTAAAATGTTTTTAAAAGTTACTTTGACAAGGGGCCCGGCGTGGTGGTGCAGTGGTTAAAGTCCTCGCCTTGCACACCCGGGATCCCATATGGGCGCCGGTTCTAATCCCGGCAGCCCCACCTCCCATCCAGCTCCCTGCTTGTGGCCCGGGAAAGCAGGACAGCCCAAAGCTCTGGGACCCTGTACCCACGTGGGAGACCCGGAAGAGATTCCTGGCTTCAGATCGGCATAGCATTGGCCGTTGCGGCTCACTTGGGGAGTGAATCATCGGACAGAGGATCTTCCTCTCTGTCTCTCCTCTCTGTATATCCGCCTTTCCAATAAAAAAATAAAATAAATCTTTAAAAAAAAAAAGTTACTTTGACAAGGTGCTGAAAAAGTTGACTTTGCGGCATTCTTTGGTTACTATCAATTGGTACTTTCTTTCTAGTAAAGTTTATTAATTAGGCCATTAATACTTCGTTCCCTTTTTCAGTTGTGGCAATTTACCCCCAAAGAAATAAATGTTGAAGAAGTAAAAACAGTATTGACCTGCAGCAGGAATTCTTCGGACACTGGAGGAGGGGCACCCCCTAGTGGAACGAATCCATATTACTGGAAATTGGCGCTTTGCACCTGCTTTTTGTCTTCCTGCCTCTTACTATATAACCCCTTAACCGCCAACTTTTTAAACTTTACAAGTGAATTTTTTTGTTTTATAAATATCTATTTTTTATTGGAAAGTCATATTTGCAGAGAGAAGGCAAGATGAGAAGAAGATCTTACGTCCACTAGCTCACTCCCCAAGTGGCTGCAGTGGCTGCAGCTAAGCCAATCCGAAGCCAGGAGCCAGCAGCTCTTCCAGGTCTCCCATGTGGATACAGGGTCCCAAGGCTTTGGGCTGGCCTCTATTGCTTTCCCAGGCCACAAGCAGGGAGCTGGATGGGAAATGGAGCAGACAGGACATGCACTAGCACCCATATGGGATCACAGTACATGCAAGGTGAGAACTTAAGCTACCAGGCTGCCATGTTGGGCCCCACAAATGAAGTTTAAAGGACTGGTTTAAAGAGAAGTCTTCCGTCCAATGGCTCACTCTCAAAGGCCCACAGAGGCAGCCAGGAGCCAGCAGCCACGTGTCTCACGTGGCTGACAGGAACCCACAGCTGCAAGCCTTCACCCAGTTCCTCCCAGGGTGTGCATCCGTGGGAAGCTGGATTGGAAGTACCGTGGACAGGACTCCCTTGACCCGGGCACCTGAGTGCAGGAGGCGGGCTCGCAAGCAGCAGCCTGAGCCACCACACCAAACGCCTGCCCCCACCTCACCCACAGGAACAGGAATGTACGTTGAAAAGCCACTTTCAGCGATCCGCATTCTCGACGCCACCCCGCATGCCTAGGACCAGCACTACCCTGACCTGTAACCCCACACAAGGTTTGACTCTTACAGACCCTCCTATAACTACCAAACAACATGCATCTTATATCCCTGCCTTCATTTGCTCAATGTCACTTTAAAAACTCATCCATCCTGTTGCTGAAGGTAGCTCTAGTTCTGAGGGGTTGTTTCTCTTCTTTTAAAGATGTGTTTTGGTTTGTTTGTTTATTTGAAAGGCAGAGTCAGAGAAAAGGAGAGACAGAGCGGGGTCTTCCATCTGCTGGTTCACTCTCCAAACGGCTGCAACTGCTGAGGCAGGGCAGGCTAAAGCCAGGAGCCAGATAAAGGAGTTTCTTGCAGGTGTTCCCCAGGGATGCAGGGGCCCAAGCACTTGGACCATCTTCTGCTGCTTTCCCAGGCACACTATCAGGGAGCAGGGTGGGAAGTGGGGCAGCCAGGACTTGAACAAGAGCCCACAGGGAATGCCAGGGTCACAGGTAGAGGCTTAACCGACTACACCGCAATTCCAGCCCAACTTTTGTTTTGTTTTGTTTTGTTGCTATTACATACCTGTTGTATCAATGTACTATGATTTATTTTTGCAGTCTATGCTTTGCAGTCATTTGGATCTTGCTAATTCTTGGCTATTATCAACCTTGTAACAATCTCGTATGCATCTCGGGGACATGTAACACATTTTTGCTGGACATATACCAGAGTCAAATTTCTACAACACAGAGTATTTCTAGGCTTAATTTTTTCGTTAGATAATATGGGGCAATTTTCCAGTATTGTACCAATTTGCACTCCCTCCAGCAGCGTATGAGTGCCCGCTGACCTACTTTGCGTCACCTTGGCATTGCCAGTCTTATCATTTAACCATGCATATGCTGGTTATTCTGCTGGTTTTAAACTTGCATTCGGGCAGTGCAAATTTGCGAAACAAAGTGACAGTGCGCCCTCTGGTGTGTAAAGTCTGCATTACCTGTGCATTTATCTTCAGTTATACAGGTTTCCACTTTCCAAGGCAAAATTCACGGCCTTCGGGGGATTTTTTTTCCAACTCTTTCCCGTGAAAATTTCTAAAAATAAAAAAGAACATCTTTTATAGATTCATAATTTAACAAGTTGGTAATTTATGTATTTTTATATTTTTATATTACTTTACATTAGTTTATGATTTTTTTTTTTAGATTCTGACTCAAGCCCTTTATCAACTACACGGGTTTGTCCTTGTAGGTTTCCACCTTTCTTAAATCAGGTAGTTTTCAGCTTTACAAAGAGGCCCCGCTCAGGTTCAATTTTGTCATATTCAGGATGTGTCAGTAGATGGCGCCCTAGCCTTGCACCTGCCTGGCAGACGCAGGTCAGAGCTCCACACAATGCTTTCCAAATAAACTGTACTAACAGGAGGTTCAACTGTCAGCCATCGTAAACAGATGAAATTCAGCTGGAACTGGATCTCTTAATGAGAATGATATATTAAGAATTAGGGGAAAGTGTTCAAAATGAATGAAGTAGGAGGCCGTTGCCACAAGCCGGACAAGCCCAGGTGAGCTGCCCTGGGACAGGTGGTGTCCATGGAAACGCCCTCAGGCGGAAGCTGTGGGCCATCCAGCAGAAGGACTAGTGACCGAGACTGACATTGGGATGCTGTTCCAGTGTGTGCTGGAGGCAGGCGCCCTCCCGCCTGGGATCTGGGCACAGGGGAAGGCTCGAGTTGGCCAGGGAATTTTCATCTTTACTCAACTTCCCTTTGCTCATCCCTTCTTTTGGTTTTGCTTCCAATCACTGGATTATGTGATTGCTTAAAGCAGGTCGACTATGCCCAGAAACCCAGTGGGTAAACACACACCCCAATCCCTCCCCAACTCTACTTACATCTGTTCAGGACCGGGCCCCCCCCCACCCCAAGCCAGGTTCCCACTCAGGTGTGGACAAAATCTCCATCCTCTTCTCCCCCCACCGCCAGGCCCACAGCACTCCCTCTCCGTGAGTGAGCTGCCTTTTGCTTAGAAACCAGAGTGTCTCAACTCTAATTCAAGGCCAGGTGCCCAGGGAATAGCCCTGCACAGAAATGGGGGTTCCTCCAAGGGGAACCTGCAGGGGGCACGGGATCTCTAGTTGAGGGATCTAGACCAGGATCCCAACATATTTGGGGTGTGGAGGAAAGTGGCCCCAGCTTTCTCCAGGTTCCACAAACTCCGGACAGGAACCCTAAGCTGGAGAAACAGCCAGGCCCTGGGCTAGTCCAGGGTCCCCGCCTGGGATGACCCATGTCTGGAACAAAGAGCCATGAGTGAGCACGTGGCCACTTTCCACTCCCTGTGGGCCCGGTGCAGGTCCCTCGCAGCCGGAAAGGGATCATTGCTCTGGGGAGACCCCGGCCCTGTCCTGCTCTCATTTGGCTTCCCTGTGATTGGCTGAGCCACCTCAGTCTGAGCAATGTGGCAATTCCAGCCCACCCCGGATGTCACAGCTCCCTGTGGGAGGATGTTACCCCACAGACTTCCTGGCTCTGGGGCTGCAGGCTAAATGCCCAGGGTCCTACAGGGGCAAGCTTGCAAACGGCCCATCTGTGGGGGCGGGAGGGGAGTGCCCAGCTCCTCAAAACGCAGAACTTGCTATCTCATTACATCTTGCAATGCACTGGGTTCTAGACCCAGCCATTCTGACCCAGCTACCCGCTAAGGCACCTGGGAAAGCAGACAAAGACGGCCCTAGTACTTAAGGACCCACACCGCCTGGGGAGCCTGGATGGAGTTCCAGGCTCCAGGCTTGAGTCTGGTCCAGCCCTGGCCACAGTGGCCTTTTTGGGAGTGAAACGGGGTAGAAGATACCTCTTTCTCTGTACCTTTGCCTTTCAAATAAATGTATCTTTAAGGGAAAACACACACACCCCTCAGTGGCTTCCCAGTGCCATAGGGGCATTTTCCCAATCTCATTGATAGGATTAACTGGCAAAGTGAATGTATTCCTGGAACTCTGGAATCTCTTAAGAAATACCTGCTGTTTATGGGGGGGTGGAGGGAGGAAATCCTGCTTTCTCGGGCCCAGCGTGGTAGCCTAGAGGCTAAAGCCCTCCTGTTGCATGCCCAGGATCCCATATGAGCCACTGGTTCATATGCCAGCTGCTCCACTTCCCTTCCAGCTCCCTGCCTGTGGCCTGGGAAAGCAGTCAAGGACGGCTCAAGACCTTGGGACCCTGCACCCATGTGGGAGACCTGGAGGAAGCTCCTGGCTCCTGGCTTCAGATCAATTCAGCTCTGGACATTGTGGCCACTTGAGGAGTGAACCAGCAGATAGAAGATCTGCCTGTCTCTCCTTCTTTCTGTTAAAAAAATTTTTTTTGACTTTCCAATAAAAACAAATAAATCTTAAAAACAAAACAAAATCTTCTTTCTGAAACACCAGGAATGATCTTGGAGTTTTTAGAATTCCCGGGAAGGACAGTTACCTTCGAGGCACGCTGTTTACCGTCTGCACTGAAGTGCTAGGATTGGAATCCTGAGCTTTTTTACCATGAATCTTTATTGAAGTAACTGGATCAGAATCCTAAACATTTTAAATTTTTTTTACCTACTTTATGTCACAAAATAACCCTTCATTATGTATTTTCCCAATATCGTACAGCTAATGCTTTTCCCATAGATACTTGCTATAAAAACCCCACACGTATTTTGTTCAAGGAGCTTCTTGTTCATGACAAGAGGTTGCCCCCAGACTGGAATTTAAAATCATTTCACTCACCTTGAACGTAAAATTAAAATCATTTCACCAGCCTTGGAGTCTTGCTCAGTTTCACTGAACCCCAACACCACATAGTCCTTTCTGAACTAGTTCCTCCATTTCATGGACAGCCACTTTACCTGAACACTTACCACGTGCAAGGTCTTGCGACGGGAACCAGGTTCCTGCAGTGACTGCAGCGCACAGACACGCTGCAAATACCCACACGGGTGACGACCTTACGATCAATGCAGGAAACGGAATTTTCCCCATCAGCCACTCACGGTTTCTGCAGCTGGCCTAGCTCAGGCTGTGCCCCCTCCCTGACAGGCCTCCACCTCCCCGGGGGGCCTCCGCACGTGGGTTCAAGGCTCTCTCCCCACTTCCTGGAGGCAGCTCCTCTCACCTCCTGCTTTTCAAGGACACAGCTCCACTTCCTCCCCAGCCCCCTGGATTTTTCTTTTTCTTTTTTAAAAGATGTACTTATTTTTATTGAAAGGCAGAGTTACAGAGACAGAGAGGAAGATCTTCCGTCAGTTGGTTCACTCCCCAAGTGACCACAAAGGCTAGAGCTGAGTCAATCTGAAGCCAGGAACCAGGAACTTCTTCTAGGTCTCCCACGCGGGTGCAGGCTCCCAAGGCTTTGGGCCGTCCTCGACTGCTTTCCCAGGCCACAAGCAGGGAGCTGGATGGGAAGCGGGGCTGCTGGGTTTAGAACCGGCACCCATATGGGATCCTGGTGCATCCAGGGTGAGGACTTCAGCCACTAAGCTATCGCTGCGGGCCCCCTGTTAATATTCCTGGGGGAAAAGCAGCAGCAGGCAATCCCAAGACTGGAATTCCAGGCTCCTGGCTTCAGCCTGGCCCAGCATGGCCTCATGGGGTGTGACCCAGTGGACGGAAGGTCTGGGTGTGTATGTGCGGGACAAACATCCATATGTTTGCCTTTCAAATCTTTAAGAAACTGGCTATAAGATACTTGGCACTGATTCTCACAGTCAGAGAGGGCGGTAGCTGGCGTTGAAGTACAGAGCGCTTTGCTGGACTTCCGTGAACCCCAGGGCCTTGGCATGGCCGGGACTAACCGTGTGGAGGCCGGGCACTTGGGGATGTCCCTGGGCTCCCGGCCTACTCCCACCGAGCCATGCCACCCACTCAGCCGACCTACCTCGGATGCCCGGGCCAGAAGGGGCAGCCTGGGCGGAGGGGCCGCAGGCCTGGCTCGGGTCGGGCCCTCGCACCCTCGCCTGCGGTCGGCGCCTCGCGCCCCGCGCCTGCGCAGCCTCCGTGAAACCCGGAAGGGCCGCGGGGGACGCGCCGGGACCCAGAGCGCGCGGAGGCCGCAGGGAATGAGCGCTGGGGCCTGGCATGGGAGAGGGCGCCCCGGCACCCAGGGGACGGAGCTCTGCCTCAGTGTCCCTCCTGGGCCTGGCCCTGTGGGCCCAGCCCTTCCTGGGGTGTTCGTTTCCGTCCCTCAGACACCCTTCACTGGGACACTGGGACGTGGGGTGTCTGAACCCTGTGCGCTGCCCGAGCCCATCCAGTGAGCCTTGAGCTGTGGTAACCACCGCTTGAAGCCCATCAGACCCCTCTTCCAGGGTCAGACTTGACTGCAGGTGGGCTCAGACTTGGAGCTGAGCGGTGGGCTTCTAGACACCAACGTCTCCTCCTCCGGGAACAAGCCCGGTGCTGGGCGTGTGTGGCTGATTTCCGCCCCTTTGGGGACCAGGAGGAGATGCGGGGTTTGTCAGGGTTTGTTTTTCTCCTGGCTCTGCAGACGCCCCCACCCTGAGAGGCTGACTTCCCTTCCAGGAGAAAACTTTGCCCTGCCTGTGAGAGTCCCCACCCAGGGCAGCTTATCTCGGAGCCCCACGCTGCCCCCCTGAACTTCCTCCTTCCGTGGAATTCACCCGCGCCCTCCCACAGCCCGAGGTCCTGGGTGGGTGGGGGTGGAGGATTAGATGCCTCAGGTGTTAGAGTAGGAAAGGGCAGAGCCGTGACTTGAACAAGCACAAAGAGGCGATCCTGCCTGTCGCTGTGCGCTGGACGCCCCTGCCCTGCCCTGCCCTGCCCGTTTGTCTTAGACTGCCCCAACGTTTCCCGCTTGGCTCTGTGCCTGGAAGCCACATCTGCAGCGAATGAGACTAGCTGGGATCATGGCCACACACACCCCCTCACTCATCTGCTCCTTCCAACCCAGACGCAGGGCTCCATGGATCCTGGCAGACCACTCGCAGGCAGGGACTCTAAGGGAGGACTCCACGAGGCCAGGAGTGGCCAGCAGGAAGGAAGCCAGCTCAGATGTGCTCTGTTTCACCTTCGGCCTTGCAGACAAGTCCGGGCTCCCTAACCGGTTTGCTTAAATCCCATCTTCTTGCTCCGGCACTCAGGCCTCTCCCTGTTGCCTGACTCTCAGCTCCTCAAGGAGACCCACGGGTGCTTTCCCTGCGAATGTCTGTAACCTAGCACGCAGCGGGCAGCATCAGCCGCAGGAACGGTCAGTAAGAACATGGATGCGTGGACTGCAGACTGACACCAGAACCAGACAGGACACAGGGCTGACAGCTACACAAGGGTTCCCTGCAGCATTTATTGAAGGGATTTTTTTCTTCAAGTATTCGCCAAGGGCTGCTGCGTGCACAGCACCGTGTGCACAAAGGCCTGAGGCCAATGGGGACACTGCCTCCAAGGGGCGCAGGGGGAAGGCACAGAAGGGCACTCTAAGGAAACAGCCAGTGCCTCCTGACCACTGCCACTCAGCGTTGGTGATGGTGTTCCATATGCAGCCCCTCTGTCATGGCTGCATCATACATATCACATCATGTGACATACATATCACATCATGTGACAGATGAGGAGTAGCAGACAGTGCCCAGAGCTCCCCCGCCCAGGCACATTGCCTAAGTGTATTGGTGAGCGGCAGGGAAGCCCAAGAGGGGCATCTGAGATGTGCCTGGTGGGAGGAGAGCCAGTGTTTCCGCAGCAGGTGGCACATCCTGTGCTACAGAAGGTCTGAGATAAGACACTTAAGAGTTGAAAGTGATTGTGTATCAGGAGAGAGAGGAAGGAAGAGGCTTCAGTTTGCTCTTTCCTCACTAAGTAAGTGCCCACGGTGACCCTGGATGGAGCGCAAGCTGGGAGCACAGGCTCCCATACCGGGGCTGGACCCAGCCACTAGCCGCTGCTTCCCTCTGGGCAGGAGGCTGTCATGGGGAGCTGTAGCCCTGAGGATGGGGAGGCATCCTAACGGGCAGCACTGCTGGGCCCACACACGCCCCCATGTTCTTAGTGGCCCCTGTGCTGCCCCTCACAGGGGTCCCCACCCAGCCAGTCTGCTGTCCCTGGTCCAGGGTGCAGTCTAAGTCCACGAGGTCCTGCCAGGTCCCCCAGGCTAAGGACCACTGCTCTAAGTGAGGGTGGTAGGCACGGAGACCCTCCTGCAACTTGATGCTCTCTGGAACCCATTTGAGGCTCCCATGGGGTTACAGAGCTTTCCTGTCCCCTGGTGAGATGGGGGAGGAGTGGGGGGGGGAGGGAGTGGGCCGGCTGGCCTGGGCGGGGCTAAAGCTTCCTCCCTCAGTTTGCCTGGAGTTGCCACCAAGGATAATGTCTTGCTGGAGATTTCCAGGGCAGCACCCATCTTCCCAATGTGTGGGTGCCAGTTCAAGAGCCTCCAGGACCCAGAGCGTCTGTGGGAGGCCTCGGCCGGCATGGACTGGGTTTCCCCTTGGCAGGCCCAGGCAGTGACTCAGAGACAAACACTAAAAGGAGCTGGTGACCTCAGCTCTCTCCGGCGGGGAGTGTGACCGTGTCCCATGCCCCCATCAGAGCCTAGACAGTCACGGCGTGGCGGGACAGGGCTTGGCCACAGGGTGTACGTGCCGGAACACAGGAAGACACTGACCATCCCCAAGCCTCCTGCTCCTCACAGGCGTGCTGTGCTGGATGTAGACAGTCACTAAATATATTAGTTGAATACGAGAATACTTGAGAATAGTCTTGTCCTTCCCTATGTCCGAGTTCAATTGTGATATGATTCTTTGCAATAGAGTTTGTCCCTGCCTCGGACCATAGTGCCTGGTCCAAGTCCTAGCTCCTCCGCTTCTCATCCAGCTCCCTGCTAATGTGCACCTTTTGGAGGCAGCAGGTGGTATTACAAGTGTCTGCATCCCAGCCCCTCACAGGGGAGACCTGGATGGAGCACTGGGCTCCTGCCTTCAGCATGGCCCAGCCCCAGCAGTTGTAAGCATCTGGGAAGTGAGTCAGCAGATGGCAGACCTCTGTCTGTCTCTGTGCCTCTGCCTTTCAGATAAACACAAAAATAAATCTAAAAATTTAAAAAGGTGACTGGGGCACGGTGAGCACTGAAGCACAGCAGCTGGTCCAGTGGTCTCCCCAAGGATCGCTAGTGCAAGGGGTAAGCCCCTGCCTTGAGGTCCCCTGAAAACTCTCAGGTTAAGCATTCCTTTCCAGAGGAAAGAAGAGGTTTTGGTTTTATGCAAAGCATCTGGAACTGACCTCACTGTGGTGGGCAGCCGAGTATTTTCTTTCTTTTTTTTTTTTAAAGATTTATTTTTATTATTTTCTATTGGAAAGGCGGATATACAGAGAGGAGAGACAGAGAGGAAGATCTTCCCTCCGATGATTCACTCCCCAAGTGAGCGCAACGGCAATGCTATGCCGATCCGAAGCCAGGAGCCTCTTCCGGGTCTCCCATGCGGGTGCAGGGTCCCAAAGCTTTGGGCTGTCCTCGACTGCTTTCCTGGGCCACAGGCAGGGAGCTGGAAGGGAAGCGGGGCTGCTGGGATTAGAACCGGCCCCCTATGGGATCCCGGGCGTGCTAGGCGAGGACCTTAACCACTTGCGCCACCGTGCCGGGCACTAGCTGAGTATTTTCAACAAGCATGGAGGAGGTTGAGCCAGCTCTCTAGCTGCCCCGCACAGCAGAGGTCTGGAGCCAGATCCCTCCAGGCCCTTCCTTCCTCAGCCTTCTCAGCACCTCCAAGCCCGAGGGTCTGCAGGGACCTGTCCACAAGGTCAGTGCAGGTGAAGGTGTGGGGAGACCTGGAGTGAGCCTAAGGACAAGTCGGATGAAGTACGCAGGCCATGCTGGCCATGGCCTTTTAGGATGGGGTGATGGCTCCACCAGTCCTTTGCCACTGAAGCTGCCCTTGTTGGCTTCCAAGTTCTCTGTGCACGACAGCAGATGGTTCCACACAGGCTGTCACACTCTGCTTCCAGCTCTCTGCTCAGTTCTGTTTTCTCTTTCTTGACCTCACTGGCACCCTTTCTGTCTCAACTCTCCCAATAAATAGCAGAAAGAAGGAAAGGAGGAGGAGGAGAGGGAGAAGGAGACCTCCCATCTGTGGGTTTGCTCCCCAATGAATGGCTGGGGCTGAGTCAAACTAAAGCCAGGATCCAGGAGCTTCTTCCTGGTCTCCCACGTGGCTGCCCTAGCACTTGGACCAGGAAGCACCTGGGTACTTCCCCAAGTGCACCAGAAGGGAGCTGGACTGGAAGTGGAGCAGCTGAACTGGAACCCAGCACCTGTCTGGGATGCTGGCATCACCGTACGATGGTGGCTTTACCTACCTACTACACCACAGCGCCGATCCTTCAGCCCAGTTTTCAAAGGTTGAGTTCAAGAGCCTTGGCAGCACCAGCCTCCCTTTGTCAGAAACACAGATACTCGGATCTCATCCCATGCGAGCGGAATGAGAAGCAGGGCGCGGCCATCACGGGCTAGCATGCTTTGCAGAGACTCAGATGAATTGCTCCAGGCTAAGTTCTGGCCTACCGGAGGAACACACCAGACCATTCATGTGGCCGCTCAGCTCTGCCTTGGTGACCCCGGGCGCTTTCCTGGTGAAGTGAATACTCACCTATGCATTGAGTCAACACGGACAACTTCTGGCTCGTTGGTTACCACCTGTGCCAGGGAGCGTGTATTTCCTGTGGTAACTCTTGCAACCTGCTCAGCCCCGTTCTGTGGGCGGCAGTACTTGTGTCTCTTAGATATGAGGTTGCTCGGTGTCCACATTCTGCTCTTATAACCAGAAGAAACACATGCGTTGCCAGGGCAAGATGAAGCCCAAGCCCTGGCCCTGATGGTCTTGCTGGTGTGTTTCTTACCATGTTTAGCAACCTTTTCTGTTTTAACAAAAACAGCAAAGTAAGTGTTACATATGGGGTTCGAGGGCACCACACACAGTGGGGAGAAAACATACCAGCCATTAGTGTACCTTAAAGGGAGTGAGCAGGGCCCGACACAGTAGCCAAGTGGCCAGATTCCTCACATTGTACACCCAGGATCCCATATGGGCACTGGTTCTAATCCTGGCAGCTCTGCTTCCCATCTAGCTCCCTGCTTGTGTCCTGGGAGAGCAGTTGAGGACGGCCCAAAGCTTTGGGACCCTTTACCCACATGGGAGACTCGGAAGACGCTCCTGGTTCCTGGCTTCAGATTGACTCAGCTCCGGCCATTGCGGTCCCTTGTGGAGTGAGTCATTGAACAGAAGATCTTTCTCTCTGTCTCTCCTCCTCTCTGTATATCTGACTTTGTAATAAAAATAAATAAATCTTTTTTTAAAAGATTTATTTTTATTATCTTTTATTGGAAAGGCGGATATACAGAGAGGAGAGACAGAGAGGAAAGATCTTCCGTCTGATGATCCA